GAGACCCTCAGCTTACGCTACAGAGCCCTTGAGTCGCTAGTCAAAGGCCTCTTTCCGGATGAGAATGTTCAGGACACAGAGACCCTGTTCAAGATCGCCACGACCAGGAACATTGCTATGCCCGCGAGCGACGACTTTACTCCCGCAGACATCTTCAGCAGTAGCAGTAGCGATAGACAGACTTCTTCGCTGGAACAGCAACAACAACAGCAACACTCATTGCAGCCATCGCCAGTTGTCCCATCTGCATACTTGGGCTCGCAGACTACCACGTATCCCCTGCACTCTGCTCGGCGCACTACTGCCTTGTCCACAAGCAAAGAACGCCTTCGTCAGCCTATAACGCAACAAGTATCTTCCCAGACTGACGAGATCATTCGTACGAATCGTGGTGCCTCACATTATTTCGGGCCGTCGAGTAGTTTCCGACTTGCATCGACTATCCGCACCCTCGCGTCCCGATGGAAGGCCGTATCAGGCGCCGACTTTCCTGGCCTCCGATCATTCACCTCAAACCCCTCGAGCCGATCGGGCTCAGCTCTCAAACGCAGCAGCACGAACCCGTCTGAAGATGAATTCGCTCCACCATCCTACAGTCAGCGTCCAGGTTCTAGCCATGGCAGCCGCAAGAGATCTAGGACAGAGTGGGAGGCATCAAACGATCCGTCGCAACATCATGATCACTCATCACGTCTAGATACTATTGGTGATCTGATACCCGCAAAGCATATCACCGACGCTCTAGTAGCAGTCTACTTCGATCACATACATGTGTACTTTCCCCTTTTCAATAGAACCACGTTTCAGATCCGGCTGGAGGCTACGTACTCACGGAAGACGCAGTTGTTCGAAGAGTGCAAGGATATGGGGTGGCTAGTTTCGTTGGCCTTGGTGTTGTCGTTTGGCTGCCAGAAATCAAAAGCAAATGATGTCGACCAAATGAATGTACTTCGCCACAAGTTTCTCGCCTTCGCCAAAACCTACTTTCGGACGCTTCTGACATCGACTCGTCTGGACAATGTCCAAGCGCTCGTTCTTCTCAACATGCATCACCATAATATCGGGCAGAAGAGCAGCTCGTGGTTACTGATAGGTCTTGCTGCACGTATGGTACGTTATTTGCTTTACAGGACACCCATGCTCTGCTAACACATATCAGGCCATTACCATGGGAATGCATCGAGACAGCACGAACGTCCAATTCGAACCCATCGAATGCAATACGCGCCGACAAGTCTGGTGGTCGCTCTACATATTCGAAAAGACACTGTGCGGCATATTGGGCCGCCCAACAGTGATTGACGACCGAGAGATGTCGATGAAAGTCCCAGACGCACCAATGCTAGAGCAAACGCGCATCAACGCAGCGTTCATGAATCTCTGTTCCGACCTAGTGTCCACATCGTACCGCATTCGACAACGTGCCTATTTCGACAAAACTTCTGCCGAGGAACGGTCCCCGACCATCGCTGTCGCCATGGCCCTACTTCGGGAGTGCGACAACTTCTTCGCAAAAATACCTCAGCACATGTCAATAGAAGACATGCCAGGGCACCCGGATCTGAAAGCAATGACATTATTGCTACACGTCTACTATTACTACACGCGTTGTGTCATCTCCCGAGACTTTCTCATACAAAAGGTAGAGAGCAACGTCTGCTTCCTGGAGAACAAGGCGCCCCCAATTTCAGAAGACTGGTCTACAACCCTAATCCTGGCGGAGGACTGTGTTGAATCAGTACACAAAAGCCTCCAATGCATCACCATCGGCATCGAGCTGGGTATATTCGAGATCATCGGTTACTCCTGGCTTGACTTCTTCTTCGTATTCCACGCCGTTCTGATCGTATGCGCAGATTTTCTTGCACGACCCAAGGGCCAAACCGATTCACCGAGAGACGTCGAACGTAAAGCGACAGTGCGCACTGTGCTCGACCAGGTCCGCGGGATGCAGAAGCTCGCACCTACGTACAAGACTCTTGGCCGGATTGCGCTGCAATTCGCCACAATAACGGGTGTTACTCAGGACAACGATTCGCCAACAGTACCGGATGTGCCACAGGAGGGGCCTCTGGACTTGACGGTAGACATGGCGGCCGAGGAAAGAACGGATAATGCCGACATACTCGATATAGGGAATGATTGGTATACAGACGCGACGGCTGATTTGGGATTAGACTTCTTCGACCTAAGTCAGGCGACACATCCAGGGTCATTCCCCATCATGGATCCTCCGTCGCGGTCTGAAAACACGGGCGATCAGACAGGCGACGTGGTGGACGATTGGACAGACAGGGCGCTAAAGGGGATGCACACGCTATAGACACGAGGTCACGCGTTGGAAGGCAGGGAAATTGCACCAAGATACCTATATTGCCGTCATGAATTAATTCGCAAATTTGGATGACATCATCATCTAGCGTGGTGTTGAAGTTTGGTGAGTGCTTGGCGATGCACGATCGACCGATAGCCGCAGCCAGTCAAGATCGGACCATGCCGCTTTGAGATTTCATGACGCATTTGTTCGAGGTTGATGTCGTGACAGCTGCAGACAAATACAGGCCCGCAGTAGCTTGCGGTCCTGCAGCGCGTCGCATAAGTGCTGAGCTTTTACCTCGATGCCACATTCAACCGACAGAACGCCTATTCTGCCCACCACGAATATGGCAGGCGGTAACAAGGATGGAAAGAAGAAGGTGCTGGTTGTGGGAGCTGGAGCCGCCGGTATGTTGAACGCGTGTATTAACATGCATCGTTGTTGATTTGAGGCAGGAATGTCGTGTGCTCACCATCTTTCCGAACACCCTGACAAATTCGATGTTACCCTCATCGACGCAGTAGATTACTGTGGTGGCCAGGCTTTTTCCATTGGAGTCGACAAAGAGCGCCATGGTGCCGAATGGCTGAACCAGGGTGTTCAAGGTGGAAGCTACATCTTCCACCACACCATGACGATGTTCGCGAGACAAGGCCACCACGCAGATCCAGTCAATCTCCAAGTTTCCTTCGGCAAAGACGACATCTTCTGGACCAACGTCTTTCCCACAGAGCTTCTTGCGCGCCATCAGAAGGAAATTCGCAGGTTCCATACCATGATCAAGATTGTCCGTTGGTTCGAGATCTTTTTCGCATTGATCCCGATCAAGATTCTATTCAAAATGTTCTGGTTTTCCGAAGAGTTCACCAACACTGTCGCCATGCCCATGATTGCACTTTTTCTGGGAACTGGAAACGAGACGCCAAACGTACCCAGCATCATCCTAGAACGACTCTGCACTAGTCCAACGTACGGCATGTGGTATCCGGTAGACAAACGAAGCATTGCTAGCAATTTGCCGCCTATGGTTGTTTTCCCCAAGTTCAGCGAGTTCTACGAGCGCTGGAGGCAGGATCTGCTCAAGAGAGGTGTCAATGTCAGGCTGTCGACGGAAATAACTCGGGTTGTGAAGCGAGACAAAACTGGTGTTACCGTTAGGTTGATCAAGCGTACGCCCATGCCTGATTCGCACAACCCCAACAGTGTCCACGTACCCTACGACGACGAGCATAACGCCGACGCCGACGCGCAAGAAAAGGAAGAGCGCTATGACGAAATTATTCTCTGCGTACTTGCCGACACGGCAAAGCGTATCCTAGAACCCACCGCCTCCTTCCGCGAGAAGAAAGTCCTCGGCTCCGCGAAATTCTCCGACGACATCACCGTCACCCACTGGGACAGCGACTACATGCATAAGCACTACGAAAACTTCTATGACCCAGAAAAGTCCGCCAAAGAGCTCTCCGGCGCCGACCAAACAGCTCGCAACCAATACGCCGAGAAGAACTTCAAGCCCATGTACTACATCAAGATGTACCCGCAAGACCGATCAAAACTAGAAATGTGCTTCGACTGCACAAACTACCAAAGTCAATTCCCGCCGGACGTCCCCTTTGACAAGCACATTTTCCAGACTATCTACCTCAACAAGGCGCGCGACGGCCATCTATGGAGTATTGACGAGATCAACAAAGACAAGATCATCCGCAAGGACTGGTGGCACCAGCTCTGCCACTCCTGGACCCATTACGTCTTCGTAGTACCATGGATGTGGCTACTCCAAGGACGAAAACACACTCGCTTCGCAGCAGCATGGACGCTCATCAACGCCCACGAAGTCGCTGTCATGAGCGGTATTGCTGCTGCTGTTGATCTCGGTGCGCAGTACCCTGCTGATCTCGAGCGCGACAAGTTTGCTTTCTTGAGCTTTAGGTTGTATTACCTGCTGGCGTATGGAAAGTGGTATAGCCGCAAGGCGACGAAGACGACGAAGGAGGGGCCTGGGAAGGACTGGGCGAGTGGGCTTTATGGGAGTGTTTATAGGGGACCTGGCGTCAGTGAGATTGATCGGCTACAGTGGAGGGAGGAGAATGATATCAAGAGTGAGCCGGTTACTTATCAGTATCCTACTAATGCTGGGACCCGGTAAGCTTTCGAACAAGCTTTGTAATGGGAGGGGTGGAGAGTGAAGAGTGGGCCATGACTGGTGTCCTGATGGCTGGTGTAGTTTTACCAATACCACATTTGATATCCACAAGTGAACAACTACCACATGCCTAGCTCCTCTTCATCTCAACCTTTTTTTCAGCATGTTCGCTAAAATCTACCTGAGACCTCAATGCGCGGTTGATCACCCAACACAAATTTGTCCCAAAACGTCAAGTAAGCCCTACAGCCACTATAGTTATACAAGCTTGCATCAAACGTTGAACCTATCGTTTAAAAAGGACGCAGTGCCGATCAATATCGTATAGGCTTACATCCAGTCCCGAGTTGTAACCCGCGTTAACTCCGTCAAACTCCGCCAAGACCCTGCATACCATGACCACTTATCTCCACAGCTCCACATGGAAGATGTGTAATGATGTCGTTGCCAGAAGTATAAGTAACCCAAACATCCAAACTATCCATGTACCCAGAATCGACATCGCCACAACCGGAATACTTGACCATCTTACCAACCATGTCATCCAAAACCCCCCTCGACATCGTCTTCGGCTGCATGACCTTCGGCCGCGAAGGCGAAGAACAAGTCCGCACCTCGGATCTAAACGACTGCGCAGCTATCCTCGATACCTTCCAATCCTACGGTCACAATGAAGTAGACACGAGTCGTTTCTATGGCGTACGCACACCCATTCCCTCTCCTCTCCTCTCCTCTCCCCGTCGAACTAACAAAGCCAGGACGGCACATCGGAAGAATACCTCGGCAAACTTTCATGGCAGAAGCGCGGTCTAGTGATGGATACGAAGTTCTTCCCCAACGTCCATGGGCTTTTCAGTCGTACACCCACTCACTCTAGGAAGGAGGATATGGGCAAGAGTTTGGAGCAGAGTCTTACTGCGCTTGGAGCCGAAGGCGTGGATTTGTGGTATTTGCATGCGCCGGATCGGAGTGTGCCGCTTGAGGAGACGGCGAGGGCGGTGCATGAGCTGTTTGAGGAAGGAGGAGGGAAGAAGTTTAAGAGGTGGGGTGTTAGTAATTTCATGGCTTGGGAGGGTATGTTCAGTCCTGTTCATCAGACCCCTTCAACTCTCGCCCCTTTTTTTCATTTTGAATACCATGCTGACCGCTCACCACAGTCGCAGCAATCTGCGAGATCTGCAAAGCAAACGGATACCAGTTACCGAGTGTATACCAAGGCGTATACAACGCACTCCACCGCAGCATCGAGCACGAACTGCTCCCTTGCCTGCGCAAATACAACATGTCGTTCTACGCGTTCAATCCGTTGGCAGGCGGGTGGTTGACCTCGCGGTATAAGCGCGAGACACAGAACGAAGCTCTCGAGGCTGGGAGTCGGTTTGATGCAAACCGTAAGTTGACACCTTGCCTTCTTTCTCGGAGAGAGTCAAGTGGACTTCGAAGCTAATGTGTATGATTTCTAGGTATGCAAGGCAAAATGTACCGCGCGCGCTACTGGAACGACGAGTTCTTCACTGCGATCGAGAGCCTGCGGTCTGAATTACCTGAAGAGCAGACGGAGAGTGAGACGGCGCTTCGGTGGATGATGCACCATAGTCAGCTGAAGAAAGAGTTTGGAGACAAGGTTATCATTGGGGCGAGTAGTAAGGGGCAGTTGGAGATGAATCTCAAGGACTTTGAGAAGGGGCCGTTGGATGAGGGGGTTGTGAAGGCGCTGGATCAGGGGTGGACGGTAACGAGGGGGGTGACTTGGAAGTACTTTCACTAGATTGGGGGTCGGGATCGAGGTTGAGGAGGTGAAATACGGTGGAATATGGGGGACAGCTCGGTGAGTCAGCGTTTCGCAGGCGGGAAGGTGTGCTGTGAAAGGAGTGTCAGCCTCTTTCGGGTGGATTGTAGATGGTGAACAGCATCTGGTGCTCCTCGAGCAGATAAAAGAATAGAGAAACACTTCCTTTACTAGATAGTTGTCGCTCCACACAACCCCAATAACATCCACCCACTCAAAGCAAGACAGCAGCACACCAAACATGCCATCACCATCCCGCCTCCAAACCTCCATCGAGGATGCCACCACCAACACCATCAACGCCACTATTGCTAAGAAACAGACACGAGAAGCCGAAGCCGAAGCCCAAACCGCGGCACGTGCCCAAGCCCAAGCTGCGCGGAACGCTCAAGCACAAGCTGCAATAGCCGCTCAAGCCTACGCTCATGCTCAAGCACAAGCACAACTCGCAGACCAAGCCGCAGAGCAGGCGCTAGCCGCAACACAAGCCGCTATAGCAGCAGCTCAGCACGCACGGGAAATCCGCGAAGAATTCCAATACACTATGCGAACCATGCGGCGCCACGCACTCGGAATGACCAGTGATGTAGAGAGAGAGGTACGGGGACGAGAAGAGACCTGGAATACGTTCCAAGCTCTAGTTCGGCGACTTGAAGACCAGCGTGGACATCGCGGTGAGACAAGGGGTGAAGAGCAAGAGCCTGGTCCTTCGCCTCCACCCGCTGCGGAAGAGTACCACCATTGCGACTTTGACCATTGCAATGGTCTTTGTACGTATCTTAGAGACTGAAGGCGCGTGTGGGGACCGAGCTTTTGAGTACGGACACTATTGCTGGCGAGACAAATAGAATACCTAGGCCGTCAAGAACGAGATATTCTGGTTTAATGGGACAAGATACAATAATCCTGTATAGATAGCCAAATGGATGCTGTGTTGTTAGTATATGTTTGGTACAAAGAAGGACGGTAGTAGCGTATATAAAGATGTTGTGAAATAACAGACTGAAATATTGATAGAAGCTTGAGCATTAAGTATAGCTATAACGAAGAGTGACAAGACTTAGCGAAGGAAAGGGGGTATATCAACCAACCAACCAGTCTAGGCAATGCAACAAATCAAACGCGCGCGCAGATGCAGCCCTCAAACGCAAGTACGGAAAGCAAGCTACTTGGAGCAAATCAAACGCCTAGATCGTCTCATTCTGGAATCGTGTAGACAGTACGTAAAACAGGAGTTGCGCGGTTACATGGTCGTCGTGAATCTGTAAATGAAAAGGCTTGTTAGCAAGCTACTTCCTCTCTCTTGTATCTCCGTCCACTGGCTTGACGCTTGTGCTGCCTTCGAGAGGAGGGATGTAACCTAATTGCTTCTCGTTGCCCCCTTCCATTGGCGTGAAGGGCGTGAAACCGCCTTCAGGCGACGCCTGCCACTTTGCCATGTCCTTCTTCAGTTGTTCCAGCTCCTTCTGGAAGCGGTTGCCGAAGACGTCGATGTAAAAGGTTGCGCCGTTGTAGACACTCCAGATGAAGACAACGGTGAGGAACAAGCCACTCGGCCAGCGGTACCAAAACCAGACGGGGCAGGGTAGCATGGTGACGACAGCATAGCTGTATTGGATGAACATGAAGGCAGGCTCTTGCATGAAGTCGGGCAGCGAGAGGACTATCTTGCCGATCCAGGTTTTGGCGTACGACTTGCGCAACCATGTGAAGCTAGTAGGTCGGCCTGCGGCAATCTTATCGCGGCGACGTACTGTGATGAGCAGGTGGTAGGCGACCTGCCAGACAGCATATGGACAAGTGGCCCAGACCATCATTTGCAGTAGGTTATAGTGGTGAGGCGAGGTTGGATCCGAATGGCGGATATCGTAGATGGCGGGATATTTCTCTTGCTGGTATTCTGGGGGCAGCAGGTGAACAAGGCAGTGTAGAGTGACGCAGGGCATGATGTGGATGAAGAGACTAGGCAGATTAGTAGGCGGTTACTGTTAGAGGAATGCGCTCCTTACCTGACGACCTTGTCCATGCTGTGGAAGACTAGCGAGTTACGCCACATGACAATTGCGACGGCATTGTTTCCCATGCAGAGGCAGTATGTCGCGATGAACAGGCGCTTAGACTGCGGGAAGACCCACACACTCAGAACCAGTAGTATGTTGACGAAGTAGCACAGATCGGCCAGGAAGTAGTGGTAGCCCTTCTTGTGGTAGGTCATGAAGCGGATGGGCATGAAGTAGAGCAACTGAGCCGTGTACCAGTGTGGGAACAGGTCAGGGTGGCAGCCCACGAGGTATCCAGAGACGAAGATGTTCATGACGGCGGCGATGAAGGAGGCCTTTTCGCGCGCAGTGACGGTGAGCGACTCGTTCCAGCGGCGGTTCAGGCGGTCGACCGAATGGCGCATGCGTCTCTTGTACTTCTCAAGCTGCTCCGCTTCCGACGGCACTCTGCGCCGCCATTCTTCCACAACGCGGTCTTTTGTGATGCCCCGGTTCTTGGCCTGGTTCTTGATCTTCTCTGTCTGGGAGGCGATGGAGCTCTGGATCTTCTCGATACGCTGCGACAGGGCGAGGTTCTCGACAAAGTCGAACATGGTGAGCTTCTCGACGGGCGGGAAGAAGGCGGCATCTTCGACGTCGGAGTCATCGTGGTAGGAGCTGTTGGAGAAAGAGGCAGAGCGTGAGAGGCCAGGCGTAGAGAGTGGTTGGTTTGCGGAGGCTACAGGCTCATCCAGCAGCGTAGAGTCGCCTGGAGTCGGACGGGCCGAAAGCTCAGAGACTCCCAGCTGCGGTTCCGACCTGGATTTGGGGATGCCGCCTATATCTGCATCTTCGGGGGTCGCCATGGTGGGCACTTCCTCTTGGACGATTTCGAGGCTAGAGGGGGTTCGGCGGTGGAGGGGTCTCTTGAAGGGACGCGGGGGTGAACCTGCAGCCGTCATGCCTGTTAGCTGCTGTATATCGCTGGGAGTGCCCCCGGTCCATGGTCAGAGCAGAGGCGGTATATCAAGAAGAGAGCGTACAGTGGGAAGGGGCGGCTTAGATCAGATCTAGTCAGACCCTATGCTCTCATGACAAGGCGAGTGATGTGCGGGGGTCGAGAATCGTGCTCCTCTCAGAACTCGGGGGCTTCTGGGGGAGAGGTCGTGGGTGAATGCAAGCTGGTGATTGGCAAGCTTCACAACGTCATCGCAGGCACCGGGGCATGCGAGGTCGAAGAGGTCACGAGGCGAGGCGAGGTGGATAGAGGACTCAGAGAGACGGCGCAGGTTCCCCGAGAATGCAGCGAATATAGGAAAATGTAGGTGGACAAGCAGGGCCGGTGTCGAGCTCCCCTGCGTGCGGCCACGCTTTCGTCACTGCGGGCCACCATGCACGTCGAGCCCACTAGCGCGCTTTGGCTGTCAACGCGACTACGCGCGACAACACGACGATTATCACGGGCAGCCCACCCCGCGACTCCCAACCCGCCCAACACGACCCTCCCACCGCGCACTCACCAGGCTAGGTGTCGCGCATCTCCACCGCCATCATGGGAAAGCTCGTGCGGCTCGAGATCTACAGTAGGCCCCCCGACGCGCAATTGCTCGCACACACAGACTAAACATGCGCAGACTTCAAGTCGTACCGCGGACGCCACACGCTCCTCTTCGGCGACTCGTACTTCACCTCCATCATCGGTCCCAATGGCTCGGGCAAGTCGAACAGCATGGACGCCATCTCCTTCGTCCTGGGAGTCCGGTCGTCCCATCTGCGCTCCGAGAAGTTGAAGGACATGGTCTATCGCGGCAGGATCATCCAGGAAGCGAGAATCAATGCCGACGGCACCGTAACCGAAGCCGAAGGCGATGCGAACGGCGACGCGAATGGCCAGTCCAATGGCGACACACAGGACAACGGCGACTCGCAAACCAGCTCACAGCGCAACGATCCCCAGAACGCCTGGGTCAAGGCCGTCTTCGAGGACGACGCTGAGCAGACGCACGAGTGGCAGCGCGCCATCACCAGCTCCGGCTCCAGCGAGTACCGGATCAACAACCGCATCGTCACCCAGAAGCAGTACGGCGAAGCGCTGGAGGAGCACAGCATCTTGGTCAAAGCGCGGAATTTCCTCGTCTTCCAGGGAGACGTGGAGAAGCTGGCGACGACCGCGCCCGAGCAGCTGACACTACAGGTCGAGCGCATCTCTGGCAGTCTCGAGCAAAAGGCCGAATACGACCGCCTGAAGGAGGAGTCCGAAAATGCCACCGAAGACAACGCGAAACATCTGCACGAGCGTCGCGGCATCAATGGAGAGCTCAAGACGTATCAGGAGCAAAAGGCCGAGGCCGACGAATACGAGAAGAAGCTTGCCGAGCGCGACGAAGCTGTTGTCACAAAGAACCTATGGAAGCTCTACCTGGACCAGCAGATTATGGAGAAGGCGCGGAACAAGATCGCCAGCCACCAGGAAGAACTCAAGGAACACAAGCGCAGCGTCGAGAAGTACCACCAGCGGCACGAGGCGGAGAGGCAGGCCGAGGCCAAGATCAGGCGAGATCTGACCAAGACTGACCGAAACACCAAGGCCAAGGAGAAGGAGATCGAGGACGCCTCCAACGAGCTCGCCCCCATCGAGGAGAAGATCCGCCTTTCCAACGAGACCCGCCGAAAGTACGAAAGCAGGCTCGAGGAGCTCCGGAAGAAGCGCGACGCTGAGAAGAAAGCTGTAGAGAAGTGCCAGAAGGACCTCGATCTGGTCCAAAAGGCCGAGAAGAAGTGGGAGGATGACTTCAAGGCGGCTGCCCAGAACCAGGGCCGCGAGCTTTCCGAGCAGGACCTCCAAGAATACGGCCGGCTACGCAGCGACGTTACGAAGCGGACCCACGGAGACCAAATGCAGATAGACAAGCTCAAGCGCGAAGTCGAGACCGATCGGGACCATGTCAAGAACCTCCAGCAGAGCGTCGACAACCACGAGAAGGCTGTCGAGAGGCTGAA